ATTTTCAAACTACAAATACATTTCCTACTAATAATAAACATTACTTTATTTTAAACATTTTATGTGTAATTTTGCTCTTGCGACAAATTCGTTATATAAAAGTAAACAGGAAATGATTAATTTTATTACACGGCGTGCAAATTTGCACACATTAAAGGAGGAAACTGGTTACCTCTTAATATGCGCAAATAAACAAAATTTTTTTAGAGTGTATTTAAAGTCTTTTCAGTAAAATTCATAAAAGTTTCCTTAAATAAATCAAATTTAGTTTTTTAAACTACATTGAAATCTTCTTTCTTTTTAAATTAACAAATGAAAATATGTGATATGAAAGAGATTACTACAGAAAGAGTATAATTTACTTTATATATATCGTCGTTTAAAGTACAAAACCGCGTATCGTCATTGTGCAAAGCCGCGTAACTGACATTTGGTGCCAAAAATTGGATTTGCTCACACAAGCTCTTGGCTCAATCCTTATCCATTCGTCCTGAAATATACTAGCCAGAAATGCGATTGCTTTATAAAAAAGAGAACCATTTTGAAATATAAGTGTTTTGCATTATCTTGATTCGCGGTTTTGTACTTTAAACGACGATATGTATATTAAGATCTTGCTTAAAGCATCCTTTTAAGCCAATTAAAGCAATTGCGCTTATACCCATTTTGGTGAGATCTCTTCATATGTTCATTGCTTCGTTCACAAAAAATAAAATGCTTTAATTTCTCGCTTAAGTAGCGATTCTTTACACGTTTAGAAAACGTAATGCTTTCTACCACCTTTAATGAAAATCGATTTTTGAACGAAAAAAACTTTATAGGAAATATAAAATTTTGGCCTATTTAAAAAGGATCCACCTTTTGAACTGACCGGAAATGAATAATTATCCCGCAAAAATTCGTCTAAAAATGTATGTAATTGGATCTCTTTAGATCCAAACGGCATCCCTGGATGTAACTATGTAATATTGATGCGCCTAAAAGATGCAGCGATTTCTATTCTCAAGTTACATACCTGATGACAGTACGAATGGAAATTATAATAGTGAGGTTTTAGTTTTTTTAAACTATAATTTTATTATTTAACAAACGTTCGGGGTTTTTCCGGCGTACACAAAGGGAGATTATCGACGGCAATCATATACATTAACGCAGTATTTACATGTTTTTTTATTTGTCCACCTTCTGTAGGTGTATAAATAAATAAATTATATGCATACGTTATTGTGTGAACATAAATACACTAATGGTATTCACACCTGGCTTATTAATTCGTTAGTCTGCAGTTTTTAATACACATAAAAAACGACCACTTGCCGCCTAACGAACTAACATGCCCCGGTGTGAAAAACACTATTGTATTACAGTATATTTTGCTTTGCTGCCTTTATGCTTAAGTGCACATTTAAGATACCTATCCCAAAATGCGCATCAGAGGCATTGTTTTTACCATTTATAAGGAAACTGCTCCGATAGATGCATTCAACATATCTGCACATTGGCGTTACCTGCCTTAAAAATTGTGCAACTAGGATTAATTATCAAAGAAACTATTACGTTTACCTGCACTGGCCCTACAATTACCTTGTTTTACAAGCTTTTATTTATTTCGCTCATCTCGCAGAACAACGAAAATGGCTATCAATTTATGTAGTTATATAGATCATTAGATACCATTCGGTAAAAATTTCGCTTGCAGTAATTTCTACGTAGTAAGTGCTTCTCTATTATTTGGTTTCATAGGGATTCGGATACCTTCCTCATTGAAGTAGTAAAGAAAATTAACTTAAGTGCCTTTTTCGGTTAAGTGCACAGTTTTTCGTGCAAAGAAGGATGTGCAGCTAAGCAAAATATACTGTACCTGAAAATGAAATTGCAGTGCTTAGGCAGCGATCAATAGTACCTTGAACCACTGGTTTTTCGCTTACATCCGAGTTCGAAGATAAAAAGGCCCGTCCACATAGAACTTTGGCGTTGCGTTGGCGTTGGCGTCGCTTCAACAG